AACAGAAAGCCACTGCAAGAGGTAAACAGAAAATGAGAATCACTATAGTTGATAACTCTCCCCATCCTCGATCCCTCAAAAAACCATGAAGGAGACGAAAACTATAAAACAACACTATAACATAACATTCTACATTGTTATTAATATATGACTTAAATATCCTTAAACAAAAATTTTGAAGATACAAAAACATGGCCTGAATAAGAAACTTCAAAACTAAGAACAGCAAGAAGAAAAGAGTTGACAAAACTCAGGAAATAAAAATCATATAGGAAAAGAACTGAATTACAAACTGCCTAAGGAAGAACAGATTCAAATGAGACGTTAATAAGGGAAACTGAAGAAAACAGAAAACTGCCATGAGAATAAGAGACTAAAGAAAGAAGAAATAAGGGTCAGAAAAACCTTTATGAAAAACCTTTACCTAATGAAAAGTAAAGAAGACCAATCATACATAATTGGACATCCTTAAGAAAAATTAAATGGAATAGAATATTAAACTACAATCTAAGAAAAATCTCCAGAAATTAGACCTGATTCTGCATACTAAAAGGGCCTGCCAAACACCTGGGAAGACTGACCTGCAGTAGTATACTCAGAGAAACATTCCAGTAAAACTATTAGACTTTAAAGATGAAAAACCATTCTTAAGGTCTCCAGGCAAAAAGAGCAAAATAACTTAAAAGATCAAGAGAATTAAATGAACAAACTTCTAAGAAGCAACATAAAGCAATACAACAATGCAGCTGTACTTTCTAGAAACTCAAGGAAATAAAATGCAAACCAACAGAAAAAATTTTAAATATGCAAGAACAGAGTTACTGCCATTCCCAAGAGCCCTTGATCAATCTACTAGATCAAGATTCAGCAAACTTTTTCTGTAAAGGCATCAAATAACACAGCCACTTATAGCTATAGGAGATATAATGAGACATACACGGAAACAGTAGTAATGAGGCTTCACAGCACTCTCAATATAACACAGATCAAGTAGACAAAATATAAAGAGATAAGGCAACTTAAACATAATAATGTAGAGCTTATGGATACTTGTCAAATGTTGCACCCAGATAAACACATATTCTTCTCACATACCCACAAAACATTCACAAAAATTGATTATATATTTAGTTACCAAAAAACTGCAAAACACTAGTAACTTCCATAAGGTAGAAATATTACAAACAATACTTTGATCACAATGCAAAGACGCTAGAATTTACTAACAAAAACCAAAAAAGCTTTCCATCTGGACATTTAAAAGCCTCATATTAACTCCTGCGTTAAAGAGAGCTGAAACTACAGAATTTTTTAAAAAAATGACAAAATACTACATCAACAACTTATGGGATGCACTGCAAGACATGTTTAAGAGAAAATTAACTCTACTAAACACCAATAAATACCAATTTAAATACCAATTTAAAGAAAACCCCAAATTAACTAAATAACGAGCCCAAAAATCTAAAAAAAAAGAACCACAAAGTACCAAGAATATAAAAGCAGAAATGAATGAGGAAGAGAACAGAAAATTAGCAGATCTAATAAACTGTTGTTTTGAAAAAAACAGACAATGCACTACGCTAGCATGATTTAGGGGAAAAAGGTAGAAGCACAAATATATAAGAAACAATGAGATAAATAACCAGTGAAACAAGGAATTTTAAAAATTATAAAACACTAGTTTGCAGACTTAACCTTAAACAAATTTGGAAATGTATATAAAATGCATAATTTCCTAAGGAATTACAGATTACCAAAATTGATCCCATTAAAGTTAGAAAGCCTAATCAAATCAATTTTCATAGAAGAAACAGAGAAATTTTTGTGGGAACTGCCCCACAAAAGTTCACCAGTCCCAGATAGGCACAATCTGTGTGAGAAAAATTTTAAAACAGACTTGAAAGACCCAAAAGTAGATCTGAACAATGGAAAGACACCTCTTGCCTTTGAACAGAATTCAACATTATATAAAGGTTTCAGTTTTCCAAGTTAATTTATAAAGTTAATGCAATCCAAGGAACTTTATGGAGCTAGACTGAAGAGTGATACTTCTGAATATACTTTGTTTCAACTATGCTAATACATTCCACATTCAAAATATAATAAAACCAACAAATATGGGCAAAACCAAAAATGGAATAAAACAAGCAAACAGACTTAACTATATTTCAAATGAATAATTTAACCACATTGAAGGAGAAAAAAAGAACCAACTCCAATAACTTCTGAACAAAGTATTTTGACTACCTTCAGACTAAAACAACTTAAAGAAGATTCTAAACTGTTAATATGCCTTTTTTTAAAATAGTGGTTATCACTTAATTCTAAAACAACTTAATGCATTCTAGGACTGGACAAACAAAAATGTTGAGCACCAGGTTTTTCCACTCAGAAGGGCAATACAAAAATGGAAAACTGGAAAATTCTATGGTTTTATATTGGAATTGTAGGTTCAGCATGAACTCATGGTGAGATAAAGACAGGGAGAGAGAGAGGAAGGAGCAAGCAGGTGAGCCTAGCTGCATAAAAATGTTTATGAAAGGTATGTATACACATATATTTACTAGCTCTTTCCACTAAGGGGAACTAGAATCAATGACAGTCTAATAGGAATGAACACCCAGCACCCAGATTCTATCTCCTAAATGCACACTCTTCCACTAAAAGGAATCAAGGCTCCTTGGAGAAATGGCTAATTCAAAGCTGAAGCAGGGAAAAGTACAAGATGAACCTGAAATATATTGAGCTGGAAAGCAAAGAAGCACTCAAAGAATGAGGCAGCAATGTAAACAACAACAACAAAACCCAAACAAAGAGACCACTGCTTTGAAGGGACTTCCACTGGCCATAAAGGAAACAATCTGAGCATAAAAATAAGTTAATAAGAGATTATGGCCGACTGAATAAGATATAGGAACACATGACTCCATACTCATAAATAAATGAAAAAAAGTCAGCAAAGAGGAAAAGCTCCTTACAGTAGAATGCTAACTAATAAATGTAGAAGCAAAAATCAGATTAGAAGGACTTCCCTGGTGGCGCAGTGGTTAAGAATCCACCTGCCAGTGCAGGGGACATGGGTTCGAGCCCTGGTCTGGGAAGATCCCACATGCCGTGGAGCAACTAAGCCTGTACGCCTCAACTACGGAGCCTGCACTCTAGAGCCCGTGAGCTACAACTACTGAGCCCGAGTGCCACAACTACTGAAGTCCACGTGCCTAAAGCCCGTGCTCTGCAACAAGAGAAGCCACCCAATGAGAAGCCCGCAAACCACAACGAAGAGTAGCCCCCGCTCGCCGCAACTAGAGAAAGCCCGCGTGCAGCAACAAAGACCTAAGGCAGCCAAAAATAAATTTAAAAAAATCAGATTAGAAAGCCATCATTTCACAAAAATAGTAATAATCGACCCAGGCAAAAATCATCAATGGATGCTGAAACTAGCAGAGTAAAGTTTGAGGAATAGATTATCTACTAAATCTCAAAGAATCTCCCAACAGAATATTAATTATAAGGTAAAAAAGAGTAACTTTTCAATAGAGAAATTTGGCAGACACTATTCTTAAGCAAATGATCAAAGCTGTCAGTAATGAGACTGACATCAGATGCCTCCAGATATGACACACTGAGAAGACACATCACTTTTGTGGTACTCCTGCTAAAAATATATAACCTCAATCTAATCATGTGGAAATACAGGCAAACTCAAACTGAGAAACATTTTGCGAAGTAATGGGCCTGTACTCTTCAAAAAGGTCAAGATCATGAAAGTCAAAGACTGAGGAACTATTCCAGATTAAAGGGCCTAAAGAGACATAATAACTAAATGCAACATGTCGTCCTGGCTTGGATCCTAAATTTTTTTTTTTTGGCTATAGAAGACATTATTAGAACAACTAGCAAAATATGAATACAGCTTTTTTTTTTTTTTTTTGCGGTACGCGGGCCTCTCACCGCTGTGGCCTCTCCCGTTGCGGAGCACAGGCTCCGGACGCGCAGGCTCCGGACATGCAGGCTCAGCGGCTATGGCCCACGGGCCCAGCCGCTCCGCGGCACGTGGGATCCTCCCAAACCAGGGCACGAACCCGTGTCCCCTGCATCGGCAGGCGGACTCTCAACCACTGCGCCACCAGGGAAGCCCTGAATATAGCTTTTAGATTAGACAGTAGTACTGTATCAATGGCAATATCCTGTTTTGATAACTGTATTGTGGCAATATACATGATCTTGTTCTTAGGAACAACACATTGATACTCAGGGGTGAAAAGGCATCATGATAGCAACTTGCTCTCAAGAGGCTGAGAAAAAGAAACAGTGTATGTATATTTAGAGAAAAAGTTATAAACATATAAAAATATTAAGTTAGAGAATCTGAGAATGGTATATACAACTTCCCTGTACTAGAGTCTTGCAACTTTTCTGTAAGCCTAAAATTATTTCAAAGTAAAAAATATACTTTCAATTTATTTCACATCTTTTTTTTTTTTTTTTTTGCAGTACGCGGTCCTCTCACTGCTGTGGCCTCTCCCATTGCGGAGCACAGGCTCCAGACGCGCAGGCTCAGCGGCCATGGCTCACAGGCCTAGCCGTTCTGCGGCATGTGGGATCTTCTCAGACCGGGGCCCGAACCTGTGTCCCCTGCATCAGCAGGCGGACTCGCAACCACTGCGCCACCGTGAAAGCCCTATTTCACATCTATATTTCTTATAACTACAAGAATTCTATGTAATAAAATGTCTATACAAATAAATACAAAATATTCTTTCATTAGTACAGAAATTCTAAGTGATAAAGCACTGTCAGTTTATTTGGTAGTTTTTTTGTTTTTATTGATAGACGAAGTAACAATGTACCTTACAATCAACTAAATATTATATTCAAGGAAATACAATGATTCCGAAGTTTCATAGGAAAATATTGTTTAAAAAGGCAAAAACTAATCATAACATATTTTTTCAGTTCAGAAAACAGTATCACTATCACAAAATCACTGTAAATACCTTGTGTTGCTAGAATAATCCCACATGGCCACATCTAGGAAGCTCCGAACCCAGGTCTTAGAGGGCTCCTTGAGAAATTTTTGCTGGTAGATCCCTACTACAAGATCCTCTACAGTGAGAAGTTCTAGATCTTGCCTGATTTCTTCCATTGGTAAACAGAAACACACATACAATTAGTAAGTTTAGGTACACAGAACATGTACATCAAAATGGAAACACAGATATTAAAATGCATTTGAGCAGTGACCCAGTTTAACTCACCTGATGACTTCTCCATATGCTTCAAACACCAGTTGACTCTGGCTCTATCATCAGACTGGAGAAGGGAAAAAAATTTTACTTATTTTCTCCTATCTTCTGTTACTTTTAATTAATGTGGTCCTTTCAAACTGGGGGAAGGGGAAGGAGGAGGGGTAAGGATGGTGAGAAGGGAGAGACTGAATAGTCTGTGACAACTAAACAAGAACTGTAAAACAGAGCAACATATTCTAGAAAATACTGCTAATAATAACCAGTTATGCTCATAAAGCAATGTTAATATACTTTATGAACAGCAAGTGAGACTTAGGGTAAGCAAATGAAGAAACCAATGTTCAGAAAAAGATAAATAAGGTGATTTGTGTTCATGGTGACACTAATAAACAGTAAGGTTAAAACCCAATTCTATGACACCTAGCCTAGAAGAACTTAGACAAAACAAAGAATAAAGATTACAAAAGGAAGGTCAAGGGACTGCTACAAAAACAATTTTGAACAAACAATTCTCTTGCCTAGAATAGGTGTACAGACTAGAAATCCATCCTTCAGAGTAAAAACAATTGAAGATATTTCAGGAGGAACTAAAAACATGAGATTGACTGAAGCTGAAATACATTCAGTTTCTGCAGTCTTCAAAATCCCTCCAATACCAGAGAGATTTAGAAGAAAAAGCATTATACCTAATTACATTCAAAATAAGAACGAACATATATATTTTAATACACAGGCAAAAGTTATTTCTTTGGGTATCTTTCATGGATCTTTTGGTTTCTAAGTAATGACTTAAAAGAAATTCTTATGTTGAAATTACCTTGCAGTAGACAGGTGGCCAGTTCCCTGGATTTGGATGAATGAATCTATAAAGGTTTTGTAACACCATTGCTTGGTCACGCCCAGATTCAAAGTTTGAAATAGGAATCTTGTGACTAGAATCACCTGAAGGAAATAAAAAGTAGGTAGGAGTTAAAAATTTGACTAAGACAAATATTATGGAGTAGGTATAGAAGTAAGGGTACAGGAAGGGAGTAGTGGATAACTCATATTTAAGCACTTGTACCAAGCCTGCTTATGGTTAGGTACTTTACATATTTTATCCCATAATCTTATGAGGTAGACAATATACACATATTAGAAAAGAGATAACTGAGAAACACAGAAGTTAGCAGTAAGTTAACTGAGAAACACAAAAGTTAGCAGTAAGTTAACAGCTGGTGAACAGTGGAGTCAGGACTCAAACCGAGGTTAAGTGAAAGAGCCTATATAGTTTTTATAGAAAGTTTTCACTATTCCTACGTGGCCTTTCATGAATCTGGTTTATTAATAAGGCTGGAGACCTTGATAGTAATGACTGCTTTTTAAAAGACTGTACGATGAATACTTCTACTTCCAGTAAAATATGGACCAAGTAATTCAGACCAAACTTCCCACAAAAATTTAGGATGTCAATAGCACCTGCAGTAGCAAGGAATTATTAGATCAAGATGCAAAATATTATAAAATCCAGAGAGGTTAGTCTAGCTCTGGGGGCAGTTTTCCCCCTGGAGTAAGTTGCTAATTCCAGAAGAGGAAGTTTAATGGCTGAGATAAAAAAAAAACTAACAGGGCAGGAACACAACTCCACCCATCAACAGACAAGCTGCTTAAAGTCTTCCTGAGCCCTGAGCTGCCTCTAAACACACCCGTTGACACAGCCCTGCCCACCAGAGGGACAAGACCCAGCTCCACACACCAGTGGGCAGGCACCAATCCCTCCCACCAGGAAGCCTGTACAGGACTCTTAGACTAGCCTCACCTACCACAGGGAAGACACCAGAAGAGGAACCACAAACCTAAAGCCTATGGGGCCATAAACACAGAAAGTTAGACAAAATGAGATGGCAGAAGAATATGTTCCAGATGAAGGAACAAGATAAAAACTCGAGAAGCACAACTAAGTGAAGTGGAGATAGGCAATCTACCTGAAAAAGAATTGAGTGTAATGATAGTAAAAATGACCCAAGATCTCAGAAAAAGAATGGAGACACACACCAAGAAGACAGAAATGCTCAACAAAGAGCTAGAAAATATAAAGAACAAACAGAGTGGAACAATACAATACCTGAAATGAAAAATACACTGGGAAGAATAAACAGCAGAATAAATGAGGCAGAATAATAGATAAGTGAGCTGGAAGACAGAATAATAGAAATCAATGCCACGGAACAGAATAAAGAAAAAAAGAATGAAAAGAAATGAAAACAGTTTAAGAGACCTCTGGGACAACATTAAATGCACAAACATTCGCGTGATTGGGGTCACAGAAGGAGAAGAGAGAGAAAAAGGACCTGAGAAAACATTTGAAGAGATAGTAGCTGAAAAATTCCCTAACATGGGAAAGGAAACAGTCACCCAAGTCCAGGAAGTGCAGCAAGTACCATATAGCATAAATCCAAGGAGAAATGTGCCGAGACACATGTTAATCAATTTGACAAAAATTAAGGACAAAAAGTAAATATTAAAAGCAACAAGGGAAAAGCAACAAATAACATACAAGAAAATCCCCATAAGGTTATCATCTGATTGTTCAGCTGAAACTCTGCAAGCCAGAAGGGAGTGACATAATATACTTAAAGTGATGAAAGGGAAAAATCTACAACCAAAAATACTCTACCCAGCAAGGTTCTCATTCAGATTTGACATAGAAATCAAAAGCTTTACAGACAAGCAAAAGCTGACAGAATTCAGCACCACCAAACTTGCTGTACAACAAATGCTAAAGGAAATTCTCTAGGCGGAAAAGACCACCAGAATACAAGAAAATTACAAATGGGTAATCTCACCAGTAAAGGTAAATATACAATAAAGGTAGGAAATCATCCACCTACAAATATGGTATCAAAACCAGCAATCCTGACATGAGGAGAGTACAAATGCAGGACACTGGAAATGCATTTGAAACTGAGAGACCAGCAGCTTAAAACAAACTTGTATGTATATAGACTGCTATATCAAAACCTCATAGTAACCTCAAACCAAAAATCTACAATAGATATATACACAAAAAAGAAAAAATCAAACACAACACTAAAGATAGTCATCAAATCACAAGAGAACAAGAAAAAGGTTAGAAAGAAGACCTACAGAAACAAATCCAAAACAACTAACAAAATGGCAATAAGACCATACATATGGGTAATTACCTTAAATGTAAATGGATCAAATGTTCCAACCAAAAGACACACCCTGGCTGAATGGATACAAAAACAAGACCTATATATATATATATATATATATATATATATATATATATATATATATCTCCTGCAAGAGACCCAATTCGGATCTAGGGACACATACAGACTGAAAGTGGGGAAAGGATGGAAAAAGGTATTCCATGCAAAAGGAAATCAAAGGAAAGCTGGAGTAACAATACTCGTATCAGACAAAGTAGACTTCAAAATAAAGACTGTTACAAGAGACAAAGAAGGACACTACATAATGATCAAACGATCAATCCAAGAAGATTTAACAATTATAAATATATATGCAGCCAACACAGGAGTGCTTTGATACATAAGGCAAATGCTAACAGCCATAAAAGGAGAAATCGACAGTAACACAATTAAGAGTAAAGAACTTTAACTCCCCACTTAAATCTATGAATAGATTATCCAGACTGAAAATCAGTAAGGAAACACAGGCCTTAAATTACACATTAGACCAGAAAGACTTAATTGATATTTATAGAGCATTCCATCCAAAAGCAGCACAACACTCATTCTTATCAAGTGCAAATGGAACATTCTCCAGGACAGATCACATGCTGGGCCACAAAGCAAGCTTGGGTAAAGTTAAGAAAACTGAAATCATATCAAGCATCTTTTCCAACCACAACACTAGGATATTAAAAAAAATCAACTATAAGAAAAAAAAATGTAAAAACCAAAAACACTCAGAGGCTAAGCAATATGCTAGTAAACAACCAATGGATCACCAAAGAAATCAAAGAGGAAATCAAAATATACCTAGAAGCAAATGAAAATGAAAGCATGACTATCCAAAACCTATGGGACTCAGCAAAAGCAGTTCTAAGAGGTAAGTTGACAGCAATACAATCTTACATCAGGAAACAAGAAAAATCTCAACAACCCAAACTTATACCTAAAGCAACTAAAGGAAAAAGAACAAACAAAACCCAAAGTTAGCAGAAGGAAAGAAATCATAAAGATGAGAGCAGAAATAAATGAAAGAGAGACAAAGCAAACAACAGAAAAGATCAATGAAACCAAAATCTGGTTCTTTGAAAAGGTAAACAAAATTGATAAGCCTTTAGCCAGACTCAAAAAGAAAAAAAAGGAGAGGGTTCAAATCAATAAAATTAGAAAAGAAAAAGAAGTTACAACAGACACCAAGGAAATACAAAGGATCATATGAGACTACTACGAGAAAGTGTATGCCAATAAAATGGACAACCTAGAAGAAAAGGACAAATTCTTAGAAAGGTACAATCTCCCAAAACTGAACCAGGAAAAATAGAAAATATGAACAGACCAATCACAAGTATTGAAATTGAAACTGTGATTTAAAAACTCACAACAAACAAAAGTGCAGGACCAGATGGCTTCACAGGTGAATTCTATCAAACATTTAGGGAAGAGTTAACACCTATCCTTCTGAAACTCTTCCAAAAAATGGCAGGGGAAGGCATACTTCCAAACATATTCTATGAGGCCACCATCACCCTGATACCAAAATCAGACAAAGATACCACAAAAAAAAGAAAATTAGAGGCCAAAATCACTGATGAACATAGACGCAAAAATCCTCAACAAAATACTAGCAAACCAAATCCAACAATACATTAAAAGGATAATACACCACGATCAAGTGGGATTTATCCCAGGGATGCAAGGATTTTTCAATATCCACAAATCAATCAGTGTGATACACCACATTAACAAATTGAAGAAGAAAAACCACATGATCATCTCAATAGATGTAGAAAAAACTTCTGACAAAATCCAACACCATTTATGATAAAAAGTCTCCTGCAAGTGGGCATAGAGGGAACATAACAAACCCAACATCATACTCAATGGTGAAAACATGAAATCATTTCCTCTAAGATCAGGTACAAGACGAGGAGGTCGACTCTCCCCACTTTTATTCAACATAATCTGGAAGTCCTAGTCACAGCAATCAGAGAAGAAAAAGAAAGGAATCCAAATTGGAAAAGAAGTAGTACAACTGTCACTGCTCACAGATGACACGATACTATACATAAGAAATCATAAAGATGCTATAAGAAAACTACTAGTGCTCATCAATTCGGTAAAGTTGCAGGATACAAAATTAATACACAAAATCTTTTGCATTCCTATACACTAACAACAAAAGATCAGAAAGTGAAATTAAGGAAACAACCCCATTTACCTTTACATCAAAAAGAATAAAATACCTAGGAATAAATCTACCTAAGGAGGCAAAAGGCCTTTACTCTGAAAACTATAAGACACTGATGAAAGAAATCGAAGATGAAAAACAAACAGATGGAAAGATATACTGTGTTCTTGGACTGGAAGAATCAATATTGTCAAAATGACAATACTACCAAAGGTAGTCTACAGATTCAGTGCAATCCGTATCAAATTACTAATGGCAGATCAAGAACAAAAGATTTAAAATTTGTACAGAAACACAAAAGACCCTGAATAGCCAAAGCAATCTTGAGAAAGAAAAACAGAATTGGAGGAATCAGGCTCCCTGACTTCAGACTACACTACAAAGCTATAGTCATCAAAACACTATGGTGCTGGCAAAAAGACAGACTTATAGCTCAATGCAATAGGATAGAAAGCCCAGAAATAAACCCACGCACCTATGGTAAATTAATCTATGACAAAGAAGGCAAGAATATATAATGGAGAAAAGACAGTCTCTTCAATAAGTGGTGCTGG